TTGGCAAAAAAAGTAGAACGTGTATCACTATCTCTACAGGAACTTATGTGCATTTTTAGCACACAAAGATTGAAAATTAACTTGCATTTATCAAACTGCCAACTTAAGTGTAGCTCTTACAAAAATTTTATCTTTTAAAAGAAAAAGAGAGGAACTCTTAAAACGCTGTCTTTTAAATGTCAAAATACATGAAACATAATTGCCTATAATTAGGCTATAGCAATATCAAAGGCCATGATCATAAAGTGAAACATAAGTTCACAATGCTTCTATTCCCTGAGAGTGAGGATACACTTTTTTCACTTGAAATTAAAGTGCAGTATTTGGAAACATATGACTGGAGTTCTTATCTAAACTTAAAGTGCCACTGTAGCTATATATTTAATATCATAACATGAAATCCAAAATGTTCCCACACACCGGACTTATACGACGCTGGCGCATCCTCCAACTCCGGTTAGCCTTCCTTATCTCTCCCACTTGCCACTTCTCCGCGTGACGTGACCTGCAGCACTCCATACTCCACTTTTACTGGCGTGTTCGACTTGAACCGGCGCTGCACAGAGCGATCGGTAATGACATCAAAGTACCGCTTGAGTGATTGAAAAGCATATGGAGCCGTCGCGCTCGCGGTACTTTGATGTCATTCGCCGATCGCTCTGTGCAGCGCCGGTTCAAGTCGAACAAGCCTCATTTGTATGTCCACACACGTCTTATTTCGCGCGAAAAGGAAACACACGTCTGAGGTCACATACGGGCACGAGGCTACATTGCGCATGCGTCGAACCGTGAGACGCACACACGCTCCGAACCGAGACGAGCGAACCGAACGGTTCGGATGTTTTTTCATGTACCGTGCCACCCCTAATAAAAATCCATGCAGTGGTTTTTTTTTTATCTCTTTATATGTTTTCCCCGTCTCAAATCAAGCCGTTCGACCGTGTGACGTCACATGGTCGGACGCCCCTCCCACGATTGTTGATTGACAGCAGCGTTTCAACACAGACCCGCCCTCGCTCGTGAGCAAGCTGTCAATCATAGTCCGCGCGGTCATTGTTGATATGCTGGAGCACTGTCTATGAGCAGAATGGCGTCTAAGCGATTGTGGTGTTCTGTTCTTGGGTGCAATAAGGAACCCAGCAGTCATTTTAATGTTCCCAAATCCGAACCGCTGAAGACACAGTGGCTGAGTTTTGTTTTCGAAGGGAATATTCCCCACGAGCAACGTCAATGCTTTCATGTTTGCGCGAATCATTTCACACACCAGACTGCTTTATAAGGAGGGTCAGTATAAAGCTGGTTTTGCTAAGAAGCTGCTCCTGAATAAAGGATCGGTACCAACTATTCGTGTTCCTGCTGAACCTCCAGAAGAACTGAAGTGAGTGTAATGTTTTATTAACCTTTATATTAATATTTATATTAATCTTTGCAAATCGCTTCCACGCTTCACGATGAATGCGTCTAAGGTTTACACTCAGGGTACATTACGGCATGTTTTCTATGTACGACGTTCTCAATATAATTCATAATCCCCCGTTTATAATGAACAACGCGTTATGGTTATTGTGTTACAAACGGTGTACGCACAGAACAGAAAGGCGGGGTGAGCGAAGCTCATTATCATTTAAAGTCATATGCACTGAAACGGCATGCTGAAAACAGAGCTGTTTTTGACCAGGTAAAATAAGTGTTTTCTTACAATACTAATGAGAAATTTTAATTAAAGTATATTACAAACTTTTAATTTAGACCCTAATGAATCATATTAGCTTGTACAAAAATGGCATTATATGACCCCTTTAAACCCATTACATTCCATTTTTATCGTAATTATGTATTTGAAGAAATTAAGATGGGAATCGTCTCCATGACCAAGAACTTAAAATTGTTACTTTGATCTTCATTTTTGCCACCATATATTTTTGAAACGCATTACAGAGCTAAAATGCTTCTATAGAAATTCATTCTGTATATTTATTCAAAACAAAAATCAATAAAATTATAGTTCACACCCAAAAATGAACATTTTTGTCATCTTTTACTCACTGTCATTCCAAACATGTTTGACTTTCTTTATTATGCGAAACCAAACGTTAGGGTGCAAACAAGATTGGTTGCCGTTTAATTTCATTGTATGGAAAAAAAAAATTCATTGTAAGGACAAAAAATACCAAATCCTTTGTGTTTCACAGAAGAAAGTAAGTCATATATGTTTGAAGTGAACTATCCCTTTAACGTAGATTTATTTAAAGTATGTATATACTGTAAGAAGAATGAGAGTGTGAGATACACAATACTCTCTTATTCCGTCATGATCATCCGTGTGTGTATTGTCATGCAACTCGTTTGAAGTCTTTTATTAGAAGCCTGATGATTATGCATGTATTAATATGACTATGACGTGGATGTGTGCGTGTGTACAGCACACAAACACAGCCAGCATCGTCCCCTGCTGCTCACACATCATCACGCTCTCTCTCGTGAGAGGCCAGCCGCTTGGCTTTCAAAACGCCACCCTCGGAGAACACCAAAAAACCTTTCCTGAATTTACCGACTTGTCTTTGCCTCCTCTATCTCCTTCAAACATAAAAGAGAGAGTAACAACTAAACAAAGCAAACTCCTCTCTTTCCCCCGTGGCAGCTAGGTTGCAGCAAAGTGAAACCCCTACTGTGTTTAAAAAGGCATAGAGGGAGAGTAGCACTGAATGGCGTTTCTCTATTAGACCCCTTGTACCTCCGTCAAGCGATCTGCTCTCGCTCTCTCTCTCTCTGATAAAGATCCATCAAGGATACCCCTCTCTTCCCCCCATGGAGCTTTTTTAATGTTTTTTTTCTGCACCTTTATGAAATCTATTCTTTAATTACGAGTGCCATCATTTTGTAAGCCTCCTACTTACAAGATAATTTATTTCTTTTTCAAGTGCCCACTTAAAATGTCTTTTTAACATTTTTACCCTGCAGCAGTACGCATTGAATGTAGAAGATTTAATTTGGATCCTCCCTCCCCCTTTTGCTCTACCCATTTCTTCGCCAACCCCCTACACACGTACATGCTTAATGCCCTCTACCACCTCTGCGATTGTTTCATCCAATTTCTCTGTTTGTATTCTTTATTGCCAATCCGGGTACTGTAAGGTTTGGGAGTCTTGAGTAATAGTAAGTTCCTCCCCTCTCTCTCTGTCTGCATTGAGTGGTTTTGCATATCTACTCCTCCTCCTTCCCCTTGTTGAGGTACTGCCACTGACCAAATCCGAACACTATAGAGTTGAGAATCCCTACCGAGACTCTGTGTACTTAGGCCTGCAAAGTGCTTGCAGCCATAACTACCTGAATTGCTTTTAATTGCCTGGCATAGCTGCATGATCTCAGTCGAGAATATGCTGGCTTGGTTCTTGAGGGCAATTGTAAGCGTGAAGGATTGGATTAAGTGGCTATTGAAGTGACTTTAGCTTCTTTTGACAACAAAGACCAAAAAAGAATACTTCACCCCTTCACTCCCCCCTTAAAGCACTTTGCTACCCCCTTCTTTTTGTCAAGGCGGAAAGGAATACAGTCAACTAATACGATCCCTTCATTTGCAATCGCAAGGAACCGCCAGGCGAAGACTGTTCCCTGCTGTAATTAGTTGTATGTGATACCAATTATTTGGCGCATTTATTAACGCTAATTGTTTGAACACCCTGACATACCGAAAAAACAATTAAAACGTGTCTGAGGCATAACAGTGGTTATTAGTGTGTGATAAAATGTGATAGGAGGAAATTAAGCCATAAACGCACACCTCTATTAGCCCTGACGCAGGGAATTCTGCATCTGACAGCTTTAAGAAGTCATTTACCAGACAGATTTGTGGTCTTGTCTCAACTTTCTTGTGTTGGGGTATGTAATCTCTCCCAAGTCTCTTTCACATCTCACTGACTTGGCTCTAAATAGATTTATTCAGCTGTGCTTGCTAAGCCATTGTGAATTAGCATTAGAGAAGGAGCGTTTGCTCTGATGTTGTCGGAGATAACGGCCTCAGGTCAGCAGTGCTTATCCATTAGAGGACTGAAAGGAAAACAAACCTTGTTCCTTCAGTTTGTAAAGATTTGGGAGGGAAATTGAAGTTCAGGCTAAGTACTTGAGATTAGCCAGAGGTTTGTTACATGGGTGCAGGCATAAAGAGAGATCAGCAAACAAATGGAAGGCTACAATAGATCTCTAAAATAGAACACTTTACACAAGTCATAGTATTTTCATCTATCTTAAAAACACGTTCTCAGAAATGTTACTCTTAGTGCCTCTAGAAATGTAATTCAATGTAACATCAAGTAAAAAGTAATAACCTATTTTTCTTTCAACTTGAATACATGCAGCTCAAAATGTTTTTTTATATATATATATTTTTATTTTTTATAAATAAATACATATTTATGTAAATATAATGTCAAATGTATTTATGTACTTACAATGTATGTAATGTTTTAAATAATTATTTATTTATAAATATAATTGTTTTTGTGCAAAAGCACCGCATTATTTTGCAAACGGAACTAACTTTGCCTTGTCATAAAAACATCAAATGATCTGGTATTTTAAGATGCTTATTGACCTTGACACAGTCATGGGAGTCTGCAGGGATCCTCTTTATGATATCATTTCCTGTTTTGTTTTTTTCCTAAATGTTGGTTGAGCCACATGACTCTGAGGTGATGGACAGTTATTAGATACTAAGCAGTCAAGTTATGTTAGGCAAGAAATAAGAATAAAAGATTATACCAAACTGCTAAAGGTTTTCTTTTCAAGAATTTCATTCTTGGCATAGACAGCTATATCAGTATTTCTTTATTTTATGCCCCCACCCCCAAAAATTAAAAACATGTTCATCATCATAGACCAGGTGTATTTAAGTCATTGTATGAATTGCATTTTAATATAAATTAATCGATGAGACAGAAAATGAGTGCCATATCATTGACCCGTACTGAAATATCCATTATAAAATGCTTGTGTTTTCTCAGGGGGATAAGTCATCTACTTTTGTCTGTGGTTCCCTGGTGTCGGTCTGGCCAGCGTTCCCACCACACTCCTGGCACCTCTCTGAAGTACATACCACGCCGCGCCGTGCTCTACGTTCCCGGCAACGACGAGAGAAAACTGCAGAAACTGACTTCACTGGACGTGGACTGCGCTGTTCTCGACTGTGAAGATGGAGTCGCCCTTAACAAGAAGGTACCAACCACCCTAACCTCCCATTCTTCGTCCAGCACCTGACTCTGTAGGACATAATCACAAAATCCTCATCATTTAAAGCTCTCTTTTAGCCAGGTGCTGATCCTTAATCACTCCAAAGAAAGCTACCTAAGCGCAATGCTTAAAACAAGCACATTTCCGTCCCATTATGTGTCAATAAAGGCAAAAATGCCCCCCTATCACATTCACTTGAAACAAGGTGCCCACTTCACACTGAGCAAACAGCAGGACTTCAGCAGATGCTGCAGGTTAAAAGCATTCTCGACCCGCCCACACAGCCAGCCAATTGGCCCTGTTTACCTCTCCATGAAATCGTGATTGGAGCAGGAGCTAAAAGGAGAACCGGTGGAAAAGAGTCAGCTAACAAAGGTTTTTAAGTCATGTTAATAAAGATGATTGATATGGCCAGAGGCTATTCCTGCTTGAGTGGGAAAAAGTTTGACAGACAGCCTAAACAGTGACCCCTGAAAAAAAGGTGATGGATCCCAATGTTTTCCAACACCCACTAATTTCTTTTATCACAGCCAAGTGGGGGAAACATTTTTAAGAAAGTATCCACTAAAGCTAGACAAATAAGACTAGCTTAATGCTTTCAAGACTATTGTGTTGTTTCAGAGCCTTAGTTACAACCTGATACATCTTTGATGGCCTTTCAGTGTCAAAAACGTGCTCAAAGGATAAAAACATTATGCCTTTGTTAACATTTAAGACCTTAGCATATTGACATATATCAACGTTAACGTTGTTTTAGAATGACTAGTATAAAAAGATAAGATTGCTTAGCCAAAATTCAGCTCTTCTGTGGGGTTCTGCCCAGATAAGATTATTTTGTCGTGGAATATTAATGCTAGGTGATCTGAGAGGGAAGAAAATGGCATTAGAGAAGGGTCTCGGGTCCCCTCTCGGAGCCAAGCGGGTTTCTTTTTGCTAGCTCATGTTCCTGTCAGGGCTGATAGAATTAACGCTCTCTGTAGTCTCCCAGATAAAAATGCTAATAACTCACTCTAGAAAATAACAATGTACTTCGGGACGAGCCTGAAAAATAATCCCATTGCTTCTCTGCTTTTTGATGGTATAAATCTGTCAAGGCTACAAGCACTTACAATCCTTCGTACAAGACGCAGTCAATTTTAAAGACCATATGTTAGCTTTAAAGAGCTTGGCGTGGAACTGGGAAAGCTGTGATCCATTATTTATTTGCTAGCGCACAACTGCGTAATGTAAAAATGAGTTATTAACTCAATAATAAAACACACTTCGCTCCTCTGCACCCGCTCCTTCACTTCCCACACTCTCAGCTGTTTTCCTTATCCTGGCAATTGAAAATCCATGGGGGTTTGTGTATACCTATAGATGGATGTTTTATTTTCCATGCCACTAAATGACAGTCCTCCCGCAGCTCAGTTACTCTTGTATAAGCCAGTGCGGATGACAGAAAAGGAAAGAGTCACACACATGCACGTGCAGTGCTCAAACACACTCAGATTGTCATTTTTTAAAAAATTTCAGTTTTGTATAGCTGAGCATTGATAGCATCTTTGCTGTAAAATTCTAAATGTTAAATATTTGGAGCTTTTGTTACATTTTATTGAAGAGAGGGTTGAAAATAATGGGTTGAGTGATGGGAAAAGGGTAACGTCAGATTGAAAGTCTTGTTATACGGGATAAGCAACAACAAAAAAAATCAATTGGACCGCATTGACTGTTAATGTATGGACAAAAAAACCCACTGAGAAATCCTTCAAAATATTTTCTGTAAACTTTAGATGAAAGAGTACAAGTATAGAAGAAAATACAGGTTTGGAATGATGAGAAGTTGAATAAATGATTGCATCTTTTTTATTTTTGGTTAAACTGTCCCTTTAAAGGAGAACTCCGGCGCGAAATGAACCTTTGGTCTAATTACACATTGTTACCTAGTCAACCGTTATCTGAGATTTGTTTTCATGATTATCGAATGTAAATAGTTTTATCTCTAAAAACAGTTTAGCCTATAAAGCTAGTATAACGCTAGTATATTAGGCATAGTGTAATGACAAATAAAAATCGCTTGTTAATACCACTAACAAGGCTGAAAATAGACCCACACTAACACGGTAGCATAATGAGGGTCCCTACCTTCAAACCGAAGCATTGAGAACTTTGTAAGTGTACAGACAGTTTAATAAGAAGATATTTTAAACATACAGTCAACTTCGCGTATACAGGCAGAATCCATCTTTGAAATACAGCCTTTACCAGTCGATCTACGAACGCCGATCCAAGTGCGCTGGTGAGAATGTGAACGAGCTATAAGTTGTGATAAGGTGAGCGCGAACAGCAGGCTTGGATCGGCGTTTATAGGCTAAACTGTTTTTAGAGATAAAACTATTTACATTCGATAATCATGAAAACAAATCTCAGATAACGGTTGACTAGGTAACAATGTGTAATTAGACCAAAGGTTCATTTTGCGCCGGAGTTCTCCTTTAAGTGGTGGAAGAATAGTTTATTCTGATTCTTTTTAAGTACATTCTTCATTTCATAGCTAAATTAACAAATTATTTATTGAATACACATGCTCTGTTCCAAAACCAACATAAAATAGTTTTTCATTTTACACTAAACATACCCAAAATGTTTTATGCTTTTAAGAATATTGTGCTGTTAGCTTAGCAACATGCTAACTGAAATCCATTGTCATTTTATTCTTCCATGCAGAGCACTTGCGTGCCAAAAAGTTGCTGCCTATGTAGAGCATTCTAAACTAGTCCCTCGTGGGGTTCCCTAGGCCGCAAGGCCGCTCACTAGATTTTGGAACATTTAGGAATCATTTAGTCCTTCATCATATTTTTGTTGCTGTCATTTTATACACTGTTGAGCTGTAGTAGAATCACAATAGATGAGGATGATTTCCTAGGCTGAAAGTGACAGAAATGTTTGTTTGTTTGTTGATGATGATTTGATTTAGTCTGTGTGCCAAAATATTACCACCCCACCCCATCTCTGGGTATTTTCCTAACAATAAAGTATATGAAAATACATGATATTACATGTTTTACATTGTATGAAATCCATGATGACTTAATACACACGTGTTTGTAGTACATAAACCAATCATACAATTGTCATTAGAAAAATATATTATTATTATAATATTATATAGAACTCAAATGACTGGTTATTGTTCTGCAGTGCATTTGATTTATTAGCCAGTTAAAAGCAAGAAATTATTATTCTATTCAGAAAAAAAATATTACACTTGACATTTCTGTCCCCTTTTTCTTCTGAAATGATGGCTGCACACTAGCACACACTTAGTATGTGTATATATATCTCTCCTTACTGATTAGGAGGGGTAGGAAGTTGTCCTTTTCTCCCCCCGGCAGGGGCTGATGGCTACACCTGTCTTTTTTCGCTCCGGGGGCGAGTTTGTTTATTTGTGTGTTTTGTGGCAGAGATGCCCTATAGACTGCCGCTCAGTTTGGGGCATTCCACTCAACGGCTCCTTTTTTTCCCCCTCTCCTTCCCTGCCCGCTCCCCTTTCTCTCCGCGGCAGCTTCGCTCCGCACTGCCCCCCTCCCAGCTCCAATCCCTGGAAGTTTGGAACTAATGAACTGACTGCTGAGCTGCCGCCACGGAGCTTGGTCTCAAACTATACTGTACTTCACACTCGATTTATTCTCCAGATGGCAAGACTACGCAGCCCTGCCGGGAGGGGCCACCTCTTCCACTGAAGTGTGAAAGTGGACGGATGTTGTTTTCGGATCCTCTGTGATCAGCTCCGAGCTCCCTCAAACCACCCGGCACCGTATGTAGAGAATAAATCCCCCTGCTTACGGGCACACTCGAGCTGTGATGGCTGTCTGTATGTTTGTGTGTGTGTGTGTGTCTGTCCTTGTTGCTTTTCTGTGGTGGTGCAGTGTCACTGGCATCGGCCCTTGTATTATCTGATGCACTCACCTGTGGGTGGCGACGGCTGATGCTTGGAATCATGACAGTTATCCCTGCTCTTTTTCTTTTTTTACCTTTCTGTCACTTCTCTACACTCTTTCTTTAGTCAGCAGAGCAAGTGCGAAACATCTTGCTAAGCAACAGGTCTGCTGGTTCGGCTCAGTCTGATGGAGATGTGTTTGCCTATTTTCGGTTTTGATTTTGACGTTTCTGAACATCCAGATCAGTGTTGGAGAAGCTGTTTTAAATAATAAGTAGTTTGGTTTCAGATATTTAAGTGATTGTCAAGGTACTTTTGAAAAATAGCCAGCCATAACTAGCTGCTACCAAAAAGTAACGTGCCAATCTGAAGCTATTTGATGCGGTAATAGAATTTTAAAATAACATTTAAAATTTATAACCAATTATATATTTACAGTTTAATATGGGTAGGATGTCTTTGACTCAAAAATAAATAACATGCTATTCAAACGAAGGTTTGGGGTCGGTGTAATGTTCAACACGTTTTGATCAAAAGTGACAGTAAAGGCATTTTTAATGTTAAAAACCCTGAACAAAAAGTATCACTAGCTGAGTTTCCATCCAAACTAGTTACAATATACTATACAAAATATATATAGTTTACCAATACCACCATCATCCGCTCAAACAACTTGATGGAAGCGCACCTAATTCGTTGGGTGATAAAAACAGGGTGATGGAAACAGCTAATGTTTCCTCAAAAAATATTAAGCAACATAATTATGTTCAATGTTAATAATAAGAAAATGTTTCTTGAGCAGTAAATATCCATATTAGAATGATTCCTGAAGGATCAGTTTACGCTGAAGACTAGAGTAATGACTGCTGAAAATTCAGCTTTGACATCACAGGAATAAATTACATTTTGAAATGTATTAAAATAGAAAAAAAATATTTTAAATTGTAATAATATATCACAATATTACTATTTCTACTGTATTTTTGTTCAAATAAATGCAGCATTGGTGAGCAGAAGAGTCTTTTTTTTTTTTTTTATGTACCGACCCCAAACCAAATGTCAAGAA